TTTCGGAAAATTTTGGTTTCAAATTAGGGTTTCATTTGAAATTGGGGATTTCAGTCGACTTGTTGTTTAGTTAGGTTGGATGTTGTGAATATTTTCATTTCAAATTAAGGGTTTCAAATATTGGGGATATTTTACGGTTACCGTCGTTCTCATCGCGCTTCTTTTTTCACGTCTATTTTTGCAGTTCTATAACCTCTATGTCGAAGGCGAGTACATTTTCTCCGAATTTTCAGGTCAGCTATTAAGTCGTCTGGAAAGTCTTCCAGGTGGAAGACTTTCCAGACGACTTAATATAAGTCTTTCGACTGGAAGACTTGACAGACGACTTAGTTATATGTCGTCTGGAAAGTCTTCCAGACTTATAATTAAAATGTTATACTGGATGGTTGTGTGTTTGAGATGGTTTTCTTTGACTTTTTTTGCATAATATTCCCGAACTCCCCCGTAGGATACATACACTAGGGCAAGAGCCTAGCGCTCAGCATAGCATTATGTATCATCCGTGTACGAAGTTGTATACTGCTCTAAGGAATGCTCTTAAGGATGAAGAATATGAAGAGCTGAAGGAGTCTAAGTTGGGAGTTTTCATCAAGTTCACTTCAAGGCTGGTTCACTACATAGTCTGTTTCCAGCTCGACATAAAGAAGAAGTATGAGCTGTGGAGTCTTGCTGGTCCATACCCTTTGAGGTTTTCACTGCTCGAGTTTGAATACCTCACTGGTCTAAACTGCGAGTACATTCAGGACCTTTAGAGACCAAACTGTCTTGTTACAAAGGAGTTGGTTGCTTTCTGGGAGTTGTTGGGAGTTAATGTCGAAGCTGGGCCAACTACTGATCAGATAATAGATGCATTTCAGAGATGCGAAAAGTGGTCTCCGGATGATCGCAAGCGGTTCGGGTACCTTGCCATCTTGGATGGATACATTGAAGGGAGGAAGTATTCAACCCATACATGGGCTTCTCTGGCTAGGCTAGTGATGGATCTAGAACGGTTTGAGAATTATCCATGGGGGAGAGTCGCGTTTAAGGTGTTGATGGACTCTGTGAAGGGCAAAGATATATCTGGTTGTTACACCATCGATGGGTTTGTACATGCTCTCCAGGTCTGGGTGTACACAGCTTTGCCGGAATTGGGTGCTAATTATGGTCAACCCATACCAAACAGCTCTCCACCGATACTAGCTTACAAGGGTGCCAAAGGACGGCATTTTAAAGATGCCATTGAAAGACAGGTATTTACTTTACTCCAGAAGCAGACGACTTATGATTAAGTCGTCTGGAAAGTCTTCCAGCTGGACGACTTAGCAGATGACTTAAAAATAAGTCGTCTGGAAAGTCGTCCAGTTGGACGACTTAATCATAAGTTTTTCTGCGAATTCTTTTCTTTCCATATTTCTTAATCCGTCAAATATCTAAGTTTATATCTTCTATTTACTACAGACTATTGCTATAAACTTTGTTGAGAAGGGCATGGCTGAAATGTTTCCAAGATGGGACTCTGATGCTGATGATCCGGCCACGGAGAACATAATTAAACTCATGTACATAAAGAAACCATGGAAGTGGACCATGGATTGCTGGGAAGTCACCGGTACTTGGACAAGGCCGGTAGTAAAGAAAAGGAAGAAAGCGATACTTCTGGTGAAGGAAGAGAGTCCAAGACCTCTTAAGAAAGGTCGTACAGAGCGTATAGAGCTGGTAGATGAAGAGGAAGAGCCAGAGGAAGATGCAGAGGAAGTTGCAGAGGAAGAGGCTGAGGTCAGACCGAACGTTGGTGGGTTGACCAAAGAGGATATTGAAAGAACCGTGAAGGATTCTTTGAAAGATTCTTTGAAGGATGTACTCGATGCCTTGAGTCAAGGGTTTGGGACGTGCCTTACGGAAATCAAATATCTGTCTGAAAGGGTGGAAGCTGTGGAGAAAATCCTTGGTGTCACCAGAAAAGAACAGAAAAAGAGTAAGGGTCAAACCGAAGGGGAATGTGAAAGTTTTAATGGGTCGAACGCGAGAAAGAAGAGCTTGCTGAAGGGGGGTAAAGCAACGGATTTGTCCGCAGGTGCTACTGCCTCGAAAGAGCTGAGTATAGTTCCGAGCCAAGAAAAACCTCCAGAACCGAGCCTTCCATCCAGCCGTCCATCCAACCTTCCATTCAACCTTCCAGATCCAGACCCGAGCTTCGAAATCTTGGAAAAACACCAACCCACTATTTCAGATCGAGTGAAGGAGCGAGTAAGATATCAGGAAAAGAGGGAAGCCGGTTTGGAACAAATTAAACGTGCCAAGAGTGAGCGAGCAAGGACTCTTGCTGCCTCANCCATTCAACCTTCCAGATCCAGACCCGAGCTTCGAAATCTTGGAAAAACACCAACCCACTATTTCAGATCGAGTGAAGGAGCGAGTAAGATATCAGGAAAAGAGGGAAGCCGGTTTGGAACAAATTAAACGTGCCAAGAGTGAGCGAGCAAGGACTCTTGCTGCCTCACAACAATCTCCTTATACAGCAAACAACACGGCCAAAGTGATCATTCCAAACCCAAAGCAAAAAGGCCAAAGTGGAAGCAAAAAGGCCAACATTGCTTCCAAAAAGGCCAACATTGCTTCCAAAAAGGCCAAAGCTCCAGTCTATAATCCGTTTGGATCAGTTAACAAGACCAAACTGAAGGAGCTCGCTGATTGGTTGAAAACTGATCCGTAAGTGATCCATAATAGCTTGCTTTTTAGTCTACAAAACTGATTTCTGACTGAACATTTTGTGTTTTCAGCTGGTATGAGACACCTTTGGAGGATAAACCACGTACAGCGCCAACTAAGTGGTATTACATCCTCCGAACCGCCTTATCTTGGCTGCATGACTGTGTAAGTGTATCCACGTAGACGACTTACCGTTAAGTCGTCTTCTAAGTATTCTACGTAGACGACTTATCAGACGACTTACCGTTAAGTCGTCTGGTAAGTCTTCTTTGTAGACGACTTACCATTAAGTCGACTGATAAGTCGTTCACAGAGAATACTTACAAGATGACTTAATGGTAAGTCGTCTGTTATGTCGTCTACGTAGAATACTTACAAGACGACTTACCATTAAGTCATCTGTTAAGTCGTCTGATATCTTCTGAGTTGTTTTATTCTAAATACAGCACATTGATGCTTAGATTTATGTGCTGAGGAAGAGGTGCGCTGAACATCCACAAGCGTTCAGGAGCGAGAGGATTTGCTTTCTTGATCATCTCTTTGCTCAGCAATGGAGTGCCAGCTACAACGTCTTTAAAGAATCGGAGCCTGCTCCCAACGGTTTGGGAAAAAGACTCCCTGGTGGAGCGTTTAACTATTATGCAGGCATTGTACCATCATTTTGCAAGTCATTGAAGTTGTGGGGGGTGGATATTGATGATATCTATGCGCCAGTGAACTACAAGGACGAGCATTGGGTTGCTATATGGATATCGATCCCTAAGAGACACATAGTCGTCTGGGACAGCATCGTATCTTGTATCTCCGACGCAAACCTCGAACTGGTAATGGAGCCTTTTCTATACATGGTTCCTTATCTGCTTGTTGAGTGCTCTGATGAGCTGCGTGACCAATACTCTCTGGAGCCATTCACATTTGAACGTGCAAGCAATGTACACAGTTTGTCGCATGATTTACAATGCATTCCTCTAGTACTACCTCTTGGGCTCCACCAAAATTCTGACACTGCACTTTGTCAATTTCCTTATATGCGTCTTTGGTATTCTATAAAGAGACATTACATGATTTGATAATGTTGTAACCACTGATTTTATGATCACCTCTTTTCCGCCTTTGGTAAATAATTTAAAAGTACAACCGTTAACTCTATTATTCAAACGTTCATGAACAAACCCAAACACTTGGATCTTGGATCCTCCAAGGCTCTTTGGTAGTCTAAGATATGATTCCAGGCCCCCTAAATTATGAATTCCCAATAAATTCCTCAATTCTCGCCGGGTAGGTTCCTCAATCTTGTGTCCAAACTGAATTGAAGACTTTTGGAAATTAATTTATTGACCCGAAACAACCTCATATTCCTTCAGAATCCTGAAAATGATTTGACCTTCTTTCCCTTTTTCCCTTACAAAAAAATAGATTGTAATCTACAAAAAGCAGATGTGAGATCGGTGGACAGGCTCTGACTACCTTCTTTCCCGTTAACTGTTTCTCACGCTCTGTTTTCTTAATACTCGTAATTAAAGTTTCTGTGCACATAATAAATACATAAGGAGACAAGGGAGCTCCTTGCAGTAAACCTCTATGTAGAGTAATAAGCCCTCAGAGATGTCCATCAAGTAAGATATCTGATACTGAACAGACGAAATATACTTTATCACAAGAGTAATCCAATAAGGATCAAATCCCATTTGATTGAGGAGCACCTGGACGAAGTCCCATTCCACCCGATCATACGCTTTACACATGTCCGTTTTTATTACCATAAACTTATCCTGACAAGATTTTTTAGTTCGTAAGCCATGGAACATTTCTTACGCAATAAGTATACTATCCGAGATTTGTGTACCCGCCACAAATGCCGATTAGGTTTTCGAAATGAGTCATAGACTGATCGGTCTCACTAAAATTTTAAACTTATAAAATTTTAATTTTTAACTAAAATCTTGAGCAAAATAAATAAATAAATACACAAATAAATATAATTACTCAATTACAAGTAATTAATGTAATAAATTACCAAAATTGAAAAATATATAAAATATTATTATAATTTAGAATTTAATGTGATGGTTAGAAAACAAAAATAAAGTTTAACACAAAATTTAATATACCTTTAGGTTCACGAAAAAAAATGAAACATTGTATTGAACATTTCCGTAAATAGTTAGGAAGTATGGGGATAATATAAAATGTCTTTTAAAATCTGTCCAATGAGAGATGTGAAATCAGAGGAAGGACCTTCATAGACTATCCAATCAATCAAATTTAATGTGTGTGTTTTTTTTTTTTCCACTATTTTGAAATCTCTACGCATATTTGATTAATTTACACACTTCACAAAAATATTAAAAGTTGGTTGGAAGGAGTCTTCTCTCTTCCTCTCTCTAAAGACGGCTAGTGAAGTCTTCATATTCACGCTTTAATCATAAAGATCTACCCCCAAAACTCTTTTCCGAAGTCAGATCTCCGAGGACCCCCAATCTTCGCAGTAATCACTTTTTAATTTGTGTGTGTGTGTGTGTGCTTTTTCAACTTCCCTCCTTCTCTCAGAAGAAGAAGATGGAGATGAATCTGGAGAGAGAGTACATCAGAAGGCACCATCAGCATGAGCTTGTTGAGAATCAGTGTAGCTCTACTCTTGTTAAACACATCAACGCTCCTGTTCATATCGTAACTTCTCTTCTTCTTCTTCTTTTATATGAGCTTTTGTTTTTGTCTTTCTTTCTAGTTGATACGTCGTTAACACTTATATTTTGATTCAAATATAATCTTCTTGTAGTTTGATCCAATCTATAAATGCGAAATCTATTATTTAATAGTTACTGATTTGTCATCAGCTTCTGAAGCATTTATCTATTCATTTTACTTATTGATTCGTATCCGATCCAATGTTCTTAAGACAAATATAAATGATTAGAGAGGAAAATAGATTTAGAAAGTTTTGAGGTTTGATTTGATTTTTTATTTTTTTTTTAAATTACATGGATTAGAGTTTTGATTTTATGTTTTGGTGATGTTATTAGGTATGGTCACTCGTGAGAAGATTCGATGAGCCACAGAAGTACAAGCCATTCATCAGTAGCTGTGTGGTTAAAGGAAACATGGAGATTGGTACTGTAAGAGAAGTTGATGTGAGATCAGGGTTGCCAGCTACTCGAAGCACTGAGAGGTTGGAGTTGCTTGATGACAATGAGCATATTCTCAGCATCAGGATTGTCGGTGGCGATCACAGACTCAAGGTACCTTCATTTATTTTTATTTCTGTAAATGGTTCTTTTTTCAAAAGGTTTCAAACTAAAACCCATTTCTGTTTTTTTCTTCTTCTTTTGTGATTAGAACTATTCTTCTATCATCTCTCTTCACCCTGAGACGAGTGAAGGAGGAGGCAGAATAGGGACACTTGTGATTGAATCTTTTGCGGTGGATGTACCTGAAGGGAACACAAAGGATGAGACTTGTTACTTTGTTGAGGCTCTTATCAATTGCAATCTTAAGTCTTTAGCTGATATCTCCGAGCGTTTTGCGGTTCAAGACAGAACTGGTTCCCCATGAACAGAGGAGTCTAAGAGAACAAAGAAAGATTGAAGAAAGAAATTTATGGAATGTCGAGTCAAGAGAGAGAGAGAGGGTGGGTTGCTGCCGTGGATGAAGCTTCCAAAGGGAAAAGGACTAGGCAAATCATCATCATAATCATCATTTACCGTTACATAATAAGTTTCTTTCTTTATTTAACTTTTGTGGTTAATTTGATGGATGTTTTTGGTTTCTTCTCTATAGAACCAACCAAATATGATTTTTGAAGTTTTGGTTTGGTTTTTTTTTTTTTACAATTTGCGAAAGAGACATGTTAAAAAGAAAAAGGTGTGATCATGGGGTTCCACTCCTCTTCCCCTTTTGTGACACTTTTGAAGTTGCACCCACCCATAAAAGCAACTTACAGTCTTTTTCTCTATAATATTAATTTTTCTGAACCAATAGCCTTTGTGGAATGTAAAAAATCTCCACAAGGACCGACCATTGAGGAAATAGATCTTTATTGTACTCTCTCTAGTTTTATAGATTTTGTCTTCACATGTGATTGAGGAAACACACATTACCTCCATTAGCTGTAAAAGCTAGGTACACCCTTTTTTTTTCTTTTTTTTTCTTTTTTTCTAACACTGTGACAATGTTTATTCCTTTTTGCTTTAAAGAATTTTTTTTGTGCAACTAAAGAATTTATTTTTTTGTAATTATAGTTGCAGAGTTTTATACATTTGGAATTGGAATGATGAAACAAAATATTCGAGTTGCTCACATGGACAGGTAGCTCCATTAACACTGCTTCCATTTTCAATATCGTTACAAGTTACAACTGTTTTCTGCATACATTTCATTGGCTTATTTCACTCAAAACCTAAAGAGAACTTGTAATTAAAAATTAGATTTGTTTCCCTACTAAAAAAAAATACAACCGAGATAAGAACTACAATTGCATCACTCTCAATGTTCTTTTATTATTTTTCTTAGTTCACAGAATGTCAAATGAAAAATAAAGTTCTAGGTTGAAGTCAAAACTAATGAGCTAATGAAATAAAAACTACAATAACGTATAACATTGAGATGATAAATTCACTTGTTCTTTTTTTTTTGTTTGAAAAAAATATGGAAGATGTTTTTCTTTTGTTTTGTCCATGGGAGAATCAATTTGTACAAAAGCTTTGAGCCTCCCGTTTATCTTTGTGATCATGATGATGATGATGACTGGTGTGACTAGGCCAACACTAAGTCTCCTTGTTGTTGTTGCTCCTCTAACTTCTCTCCTTCCTGATTTGGAAGGAGAATACGCTTTATGTCTTCTGCGGTTAGTGTTTCATACTCCAGAAGTGCATTTGCTAATGTGTGTAGCTGCTTCTCATGCTGGACAAAACACACAAATAAATAAAAAGTGAGAAAAAGACTATTAACACAGTTTTGATAAGAGTTAAAAGTGTGATCAGCGTTAATTTTTGCACAAACAAACCCGTTTCAACAGAGACTTCACTCGCTCGTATGCCTCTCGAAGGAGTTTCACAACCTGACCATAAACACTCAGACTTGGGAACAAAAGGATTTCAATGGGAACTAGAATAAAACGAACAAAGAGAGTCCCTACCTCTGCATCAATGCGAGATTGCATTTCGGAACTTGGTCTTTCTTTTATATGAACTGGTCCTATTGCCTCACTCATCCCACAGCTCGATACCTTCCATTTCAAACCAAAAAACTAATATAACCAAAGGCTAATACTTTTGATAAACCAGGAAAACAATGAAGCAAATGCTCGTTTTATATGAAGGTTGTAACAAGTGATTACCATATATTGAGCAAGTTCTGTAGCCTGGGAGAGATCGCTACTTGCTCCAGTGGTGATATGATCCTGGCCAAAGATGAGCTCCTCTGCGACTCTTCCTCCCATACATACATCAAGACGAGCTAATAACTGCTTCTTGCTCACTGATGTTTCATCGTTTGAAGGTAACTGAGTAACCATCCCCAACGCAGATCCACGGGGCATTATAGTTGCTTTGTGGATCGGGTGCGCACCTTCCGTGTTCAAAGCGACAATAGCATGGCCACTCTCATGGTAGGCAGTGAGCTAAAGAGGCAAAGATGCAAGTGAGAGGTCACAACATGTTTTGAATTCCACATCCAAAAACTTATACACTCAAGTAATAGAAATACCTTTTTTGAGTCATCTGATACGAACATTGTCTTCCTCTCTGTCCCCATAACAATCCTGTCCTTGGCGAATTCCAACTGTTCAGCAGAAAGCTTCTCAGCCCCTTCAACAGCCGCCTTTATGGCAGCTATATTTACCAGGTTTGCAAGATCTGAAAATTGATTTGGTGAGATTGGGGAAAACAAGGTGAGTCATTGAATATTCATAGCTCAGTGACAAAATGGAGTTGCAGATTTAAGACACTCACCAGCACCATTGAATCCAGGAGTTCCACGAGCAATGGCTTTAACATCCACATCATCTGACATAGGTTTGCCTTGGAGATAGAGTTCCAAAATCTCTTGCCGTCCACGGACATCCGGACTAGGGACGACAATCTAAGTCAAAATCTGTCATTAGTTTCTTTTGCTTTTGCAAAATCCAAAACAGTTTTCATAGACACCTATCTCAATTATGTTTGTGAAGTATATAAATGGATACCAACTTAACACCAAATGAGCAAAAACATACAAAAAATCCTCAAACAGATAGAATCACTTCTTCATTTTTCAGTAACTAGCATGAACACTCATCTTCAGTACTAATATAAATAGAGACAAGAGCAACGCGAATCTGAATACTTACATGCCTATCAAATCTACCCGGTCTTGTTAGTGCTGGATCAAGTATATCAGCCAAGTTGGTTGCAGCCATAACTATTATTCCCTGCAGTGCAAAAAAGAGTAAAGTACTATTATAGTCTACCAGATCATGGTACACTATTCCTCATTAAAAAAAATACCTCATTCTGCTCAAAACCATCCATCTCAACAAGTAGTTGATGCAGTGTCTTCTTTGTATGCCCTTCCCATTGCTTCCTCGTGGAACCAACCGCGTCAATTTCATCAATGAAAATGATACACGGCGCCTGTAAAATATGAGCGTCAGCATATAGAACTTCACTCATGGTAAGAGGCTTCACAGCTTAACAACCATAACTCTTTTGAAATAGCTTGTTAACGGTGACAGTTTATGTCAGACCTTTTTTTTAGCTGCCTGAAACAAGGATCTCACACGCTTAGCTCCAACGCCAACAAACCTGTCAATCATGGAGTTATGATATTATTTGTCAATATCCATTTCTACAGAAGCCACCTGATAGTAATTGAAAGTTAATGATGATGTTACTCAAGACATAGACCGGAGAAAGAAAGAAAAAAACTAGAAGGCTCACATCTCTTCAAATTCAGATCCAGCTCTATAGAAGAAAGGTACTCCAGCTTCTCCAGCAATTGCCTATGAAAATTTAATTGTGTCAGCTAATTCGAATCAATCCGAGTATGGGAAGCTTAATAAGAGTTTTGTGATTAAGTGGGGTGTGTGACTGAAAGGCACACAAAAAATGAAATATAACTCTATGATAACTACCAATATCAACAAAAGACGAAAATTCAATGCTATATGAGAACTTACTTTAGCCAGCAATGTCTTTCCAGTACCAGGTGACCCTGTTAGAAGAATTCCCTGGAAGAAAACATTTTAATAAATGTCTCAAGTCAAAAGGCTTACTGTAAATAGATTATAGCTTTAAGTAGACGTGCCAAAACCAAGTTCCAAGTAACAATCGAGAAGATATTATAACCAAATATAAAGAGATTGTACCTTTGGCAACTTTCCTCCAAGGCGGGTAAACTTTGATGGATTTTTCAGATATTCTACCACCTCCTCAAGCTCTTGTTTTGCATCATCACAACCCTTTACATCCTTAAATGTTTTGAGATTCTGCAGCAAGCAAACTTGTCAGATTAAGATACAATGACGCCACTCTCCGAAATTAATACCTCTCAAATGTTACATGAAAAGAATATTCAAGGGGTAAACTAGCCATATGATATAGAGGATCCAGGATTCAAAAAGAAAATGATAGTCTCCGGGTAATCTGTCTCTTAACATACGTTTGAAAACTGTAACCAATTTCCTCACAATTCTAATACAACTAACAACTTTATAATCCTTGTAAACAGTGAAGAACACTAGGCTTCAAGTATATACCTTTTCTGGAGTTATCTCTTTGTTAACCTCTTTTGTGGAAAATGAAGAAGTTGAACCAACACCCGAAGTTCCAACTCCTCCAAGACTTCCAATATACTTTTGCAGAGCAGCTGCACCCATTAACCTAAAAAAAAAAAAAAATCCATTTTAACAGAAGGAACACCGTAATCAACAGGAGAAACAAGCAATAGCAAGTTCAACAATGCATAAGAATTCGACCAATTTTATCTAAAGTAATCAAGCGTAAAATGTAGATGATACATACCACACTAATCCAACAGCAACGGTGAACAAGATGGTCGAGACAAGCTCTTGTGCAAATCTTGATTTGTTGGAAACTTTTGGATTAACCTAACAAAGTAAAGACCCGTGTTAAGAACTAAAGATCATATGGAAACGTCCACACTTATTAGTATACTCTAACCAGATGAGTAATGTAAAGCGGAAACTTACCATGGTAACATGCAGAGGTTGCCGCTCAGATATACCAGGGTTCACAAATGAGTCGTCCATATTGCCTGAAGCACGATGCTTCAGCTCTTGCAGCTGCACATCAACCAATGATTATTACATATATATAAGTAGGAAATTCTAACTAAGAGATGTACTCCAGATAACAGTTTTTTTTTTCTAGAAGTAATAATGGTACAAGAAGAAGAATATATAGTACCAGTGTGGGAAGAGTAGATGGCTTGCCGGTTTGTTCGTCAGGAAGATACTCAGTGATAGCATTAGTAATGACAAGAGCTCGAATATATTCAGCAACTCCTCTACTGTCCACTGCGTGTTCCCTTTGCTCGAAGCGTTGAACAACAGCTTCAGGACTGATTGAAGAAAAATAAGACATAATCACACCACACAGAACCAAACCAACAATTCAATACAACTATCATGAATGAAACTTGCGTACATGTGTTTGTTGAGCTCAGCTAATAAAGTTCCCTGCAAAGCAGCGTCCGTTGGATTAGCATCGGCTTCGGCGATGAGTTTCTCAAGACGCTTCTCTTGGCGAGAGAAAGGCCACCAGGTTAGCCACTCCCGTTGCATTACTTTCTCCATGGCTCTCTTTAAAGATGCCCATAGCCCCATCAGCAACACCACAATCTGAAACTTGCTCTTCTCCTTCTTCTTCTTGTCTTCCTCTTCACGTTCCGCTCTTCCTCCTCCTCCACTATTGGTTTCAGCCGCAAGGATGTCTTCACTCGTCCCTTGGTCAGTAGTCACTAATTCCGAAACCAATCTACTCTCTGCTGACTCCGTCACGTTCCCGTCCTTGGGAAGGAAATCTGAGTCGGAAGCGACATTGTCTTGGCGCAATGAGCAAGGAAGGGGACGAAACCGAGAGCTGAGAAGAGTTGAAGAAAGACGGTAGAAACTGGAGAGAGTTTGAGGATTGAAACGTAAAGAAGAAGAAGAGAGGAGAGGACGATGGTGAGGTATAAAGGAAGAAGGAGGACGAAGGAGAAGAGAAGCTTGAAGAGTGGAGGAGGAAGACATTGGAGTTAGTTAGTTTAGGGTTTTTGAATATTCCCCTTCTTTTATCTTCTTCTTCAGACAGAAAAAAAAAACAGAGTTTTAGCCACAAAGATCCCTCTCTAGCAATTTATAGACACAACTGGGTTTTGAACATAACCTTATCCAGATTCCCTCAGATGCTAACCAATAATCATGCGATTAAGACAGTTGTTTATCAAAAAGAAAAAAGAGACCGAGATTATCTAATAAGTTATACAATTTTCATAAATTTCACCCAATGGTTTTGATTATGATTCTTTGGACACAATGACAAGTGTATGTTCCATAAACATAAAACTAAAAACAAAACACAGAGAGTTGGGAGAAATGTAAGAGAGAGACGGATTAAAACAACTTTGTCTTCTTCGACTTTCTTTTTCTTATTTTTAATGCCTTGGACCAGGACCATAACCATAATGATGTGGTGGCGGTGGCATATGCCCACCCGGACCTTGATGCATCGAGGGTTCTGCCATGTAAGCATCCTGACCTTGTCCCCATCCACCTTGCGGCTCATGGTATTGCTCCGGGTATGGATTCGGGCCAGATGGTGGAGTCATCACAACATCCGACGGGTTAGGCAGCGTGTAGTCTCTGTTTCTATCGTTGTTCTCCTGCAAAATCCAAAAATCATTTACCCAAGTGTTAAAAAACAAGTTTCAAAAGTTGTAAAGGGAGAATACTAATTACTTAAACTACTAACCTTTATGCTGAGGTCTGTGTGGCGTGAGTAAGTGATGTGTAACTTACAAAACCCACCATCATAAATACAATGTCCTTCCAACGCTCCCTTCGCCACCACAGCCGTTTGGACATCTGACCAATACTCAATTGATAACTTGACCTTATTACAACAAATCAATAATGACTTAAGAAAAACATGAGTATTTTACTACGAGAGAATGTTACCTGGGTATTGAATCAATGCTTGCATCCCACCATTCTTGTCAAACATTGCAATCTTTTGAACAGCTCCGAATGTCGCAAAAACCTACTCGTTAATAAAGAAAAAAAAAAGGGGCAAGAGACAATTAATATTTTTCCAAACGAAAGATTCAATGAGATTTCACCGTCTATCGAGTATTACCGTGTGCAAAACATCCAAAGTTACTGCATACTGCATGTTCTCGATGGATGCAAGGAGAACGTTACTTTCAGGCTCCATCTTCTTTCCGTCTACACCCACAACCACCTATTAAGAAATGACACCTAGTCAGTCGTAGAACAACAATAAACGTTGTGTTGCATCTCTTTGGAATATATACGCATCACCAGCAAGAGGTTCAACTAAGGTATCACCCGGATTATAAATGCATTTTCGAACAAGAGACTGTTCCCAAATTGCTTACCTGACCAGTACTATCAAAGGCTGATGGAGCGACAGGAAGGTAAGGATTAGTATAGTCCCTGCATATTTAAGGGGAGATAATTAAGTTAATATAATCATGGCAATCACCAAGCACACCAAAACATGTTTCAAGTTTCACCACATGATGTGAATACACATACCTGCTCCGGTGGCTCTGAAATTTTACAGTCAAATCTGTATGAGCTGAATATGTGATCTTAAGAGAGCATTGGCGTTCCTCAGGGACTAGATACCTGATGCAGAGAAAGAGACGTCACTTAAAATGTATGCCTTAAAGTATGAAACCTTTATAACACAAGCCCTGTAATATTTGGCTAAAATAAACACACGACACATATCCTCTTTACATGTATATAGTACTTTCCTAGGTTCGTAAATGAAAGACTAGTTTGGTTCTCCTAGATCTATCACCACCACACAGGACTTAACGAAATATAACATCAGATGACTAAATATACTATGGACGTTCTCAAGCCTAACAAATGTCAGATCCTACACGAAAATATCTAGAACTATACAGATAGCCCCTCACAGTTAGACTAAATACTGTGTCAAAAAACTAAACAACTGTCACCTAGGGATGTTTCTTCCATCGAGGGCAGATTTTGCAGAGGTTGCAGTATCCGCATCAGTAAATTGAACCAGTGCCTAGAACAATTAAAAAAGAAACAATATAAGTATTAAAACTAGAATACATCAAAAACAGAGCATGTAAGGTACAGCTAGGTAATATACCTGATATCCAGCTGTCTTCTCGAAAGTAGTAATCTTGTGGACAAATCCAAAGGTTGAGAATACCTGCATTGCAAACCAGCAATTAGAACAACAACCAAAATCCAGAAGGGTCGACTTTAAAGACTGCAGTCCAGCATTGGTAACTATATTGAACATTCGAACCAAGACAAACTTAGTTTGCGCTTTTACGTATCAAATCAGAAAAGTTAGGATAGCAAGTTAAACTAACAAATATGGTGTGCTAAGTTTGAGGCCGGAATACAATATCTGGAAGGCAAATGACATTGTGCATTCCAACATATCAAACAACCATACTAGAAACAAGATATTTCTTATTAGGTTAGCAGATAGAGATTGATGAACCTCTAGATAAAAATAAAATTCATCACAGCTACATAAACTTTGATACAGTTCTACATCACGAAAAAAAGGTGCAGATAGAGATGAAGCCTATCATATCCAACATAAACAATACCTACATCTATGTAAGATCAAAACCCTATATGAGTATTTGATAAAAGGAAAGTGTGAGGGAGAAAGAGTAGGGAAGAGAGAGAGGGAGAGAGGCAGTGTTAGGGAAAGGAGAAAGGAAACAAACACACATGTGCTCTTTCTCGTAATGCATTTTATCCTGCCACTGAAGATATTGCCTTGACATGGCCCTGCTGATCCATTTACATCCATGTCAAAAAAGTAAGTTTCCAAAAACCACGAGAAACACCTACAACCTACCAGAAAGTCTCCTAGAACAATCTTTTTCAGAAATATTGTTTACTTTCTTCAAACGAAAACCAAAAATAAAGAAGGAGCCTGATCCACTTACCACATGCAAAACATCAATGCTGACCATGCGAGCATCCTCGCCTTCAACTGTCACAAGAAGAACATTCCCCACAACATCCGCCGCCGTTTTGTTGTTCACTATCTCTTGCCTGTTGGAGTACTGGAGGTAGACAGTTTTACCTCGAACTTGAGCAGGGTCCGGTGAAGAAGCGTAGTACGAAATCATTTGTATAGCTTGGTTTAAATCTTCCTGAAAACAAAGAAACAATTATATATATATATAAAAAAAAAAAATCAATCTAAACTTTGTTCTGCTGCAATAATTCACTTACAAACTCAATGAAAGCTTGGTTGCGATTGGCTCCAACATTGCACTTTGTATTCACAACAGTACCAAAGGGCTTCCCGAGCTCAATCAACTCTTCTTCAGTGCATTCCCAAGGCAAGTTTCTCAAATGAAGTACCTTTGAAGGTGGCTGCGTGTATCGAAACTGCGGCTGGCTTGAAACCGAAGACATTGTTCTACGCTGTAAATCAATACAGAGAAAATCTCAAGAATCAATGACGAAGAAGAAATCAAAAATAAGTTTAGATTATACGAAACAAGCTATTACGAAGGATAGATGATAAATCGTAGAATTCTCCTCAGTGATTGGAGATGTGCAGATGAAATTAGGGTTTGACGTTTGGGGAAGGAGGAGATAAGCAGATGAAATAGATACAAAGTGGAATCCAAAACTTCCTCGCTTTTTTATAACGTTAGCGTCTTCCTTGTCGGGCTGTAAACGGAACTGATATATATGGGCTTTTACGCTTTCACTGGCCCATTTTGACTATTACGTCTATGGGCTCTTTCAGAATACAAAAGCAACAGATACGTCGGAGAACAAAGTGGTAGGTACGTCGGGGAAAAATGTGGTAGATAAATGTATGAAAGAAAAAGTTTTGGGTACGTAAACTACATATTTTCCACACCAGAAATATCATATTGTACTAGTATATACTTCGCATGAGAATATTTTTGTTTATAAAAAACACATTTCGGTTAACTAAAATTGACATATATAAAATAAATTTGTTGTTGTAATAAGAAATGGGTATACATTAGAAAAAGTACTAACATACTTATCATAGTTAACCACAAACATATAAAATTGATTTGACCTGCCTATAAAATTTGCATTGATCTGAAATATAGCTCATTAGTTAACCACAAACATATAAAATTAATTCTATCTGCCTATAAAAATTTGCATTGATCTGAATATATAGCTTGTTGATCTGAAATAGTTTTAGTTTTTTTTAATTTACTGCTTACTGTATGCTACTATAACTTTTAAATATATATGACACAAATTGTAAGTCCACATCACATGAACAACCCATGGACAATGGATTAAATACTTTATTCATTGACAGTGTTAATTTAAAATTATAGTAAAAGAATTATAAGTTTTTACGTTGATAGCCGTACATCTAATCTATTAAAACTAAAGTATATTTAGTACTTAACCCTAAGTTTTCCTCAATAATTACCAATCCTTGCCACTGAAATTATACACTGTCATTTCATATAAAATTACTAAACCATCATTTATCTATACTATTAAAACACAAGGCCTTTTTTTGAGGTCCCCTTGATTTTTGGAAATATTTACGGATCTTTGCCACCGTATTATTTAAAACCTATAGTTTTTATTAATTATTTTTCCACCAAATCTTTTTCCACCAAATCTTTTTCCAACAATATATTGCCTTGATTATCTCTCCATTTTAATTTTAATAACAATATTATGACACTGATTTAAACTACAAAATCAATATTCCTAAATGTCGCCAATTATGGTGATAATTATAGAAATATCATGTTTATTAATTACCTTAATATATTTGCAATTTTTATTTATAATTTGCCTTTTGACTATATGGTAAAAAGTAACTATTCCTAATGATATAAAAAAGCATTTTTAAGAAAATACGAAAGTACTTAATGTTAAATAGTAATTTGCTGTTATATAACAGATTATAAAATCATGAACCAAACATTATATATGTACACCATTTATGCTAATAACTTATCTTTCAAGTAAATGTAATGTAATGTAGTAGGACTTTCGTTTTATAACAAACAAACATGTAAAATAAATAGATATTTATAGCGCATCATAATTTAAATTAAAATATAGTTCTTATAGTAGTTCATCAAATAAAAAAATAAAAATAAAATAGAATTTTCATTTTATTTATACAATAAATATGTAAAATAAAACACCTAGAACTTAAATTGTTATAAACCTTTTAAAAATATTTTATAAAAAATAATTATAAAGAACTCACGAATTTAAGAGTATACATTTGTTAGAATGTAACAAATAAATTAATATGTGAGATAATCTCTTCAACTAGATAACTTATTAAGAATATTTCGTAATAGCATCATTTAAAATATTTCTCCTCTTTTCAATTATCTTCTTCATTACGACGAGATTTGCATCCAAACAAATATGAAAACAAATTTTAATCATATAAGAATAAAAATGGTGATATTAAGAATATAATCTAATAAAATGAATATAACTTGGATTATGCGGAGATTTCAAAATGATAACAAAACTTAATTGTTTTCATATTTATCTAAATGAGTATTATCTTTNTCTTCTTCATTACGACGAGATTTGCATCCAAACAAATATGAAAACAAATTTTAATCATATAAGAATAAAAATGGTGATATTAAGAATATAATCTAATAAAATGAATATAACTTGGATTATGCGGAGATTTCAAAATGATAACAAAACTTAATTGTTTTCATATTTATCTAAATGAGTATTATCTTTTAATTTGAAATTATAATAAATAGAAAGAAAATATTGTTTGGTTTATACATTTCAAATTAATAGTTTTGCCTATCATATCTAACTATATTTGTATTTAATCAAATTACTTTATTTATATATTAACAAAAACTAAATTCTCATTGTTTCCCATATGTTTTGGCATATACTTTTATTTTTATATATTAAACTTCCTTTATTATATATATGAGTCATATTATGTTCTCTACTATGAATATAGCTTAAGTTTAATATATATAAGGGTCAAAATTTTCATTTGCTATATAGTTTACGGACAAAAATTCATTTTTCATATGTACTGAAATAAGATAAACTTTTTTTAATGTGTTCATTTTCTACATGTCAAAAAATATTTATCAAGTTACAAACGGCTTGAACAAATAGATTTTCCATATCTATTATGAACTAACAAACGGGTTAATAGTATTATTAACAGAAAACAATTCTGCACTATCAAAGTGCGGATCAAAATCTAGACTATTATATTGTAAACATATATATGTGCCAAACTCGACTGTCTTAAACTAGGATTGTGCCATTGAAATAAATATATTTAATATTTAATTTATTAGATGTAGTTATTATTTAGGAACATTATTTTCCTCCCTATTAATTAACCTAACACATATTATTTGTTGTTAAATGCATCTTTGATTGAAAGCATAGATTCTTATTTGGAGTATTTATTTTAGAAAGTGAATCTTTGTTTATCAAGTAGCAATAAATATTTCACATCATAAAATGAAGTTTTTATAATTAAACTTCTTAAGTTTTTGGTTTCAATTAAAATCAAATAAATACACCAAATTATGATTCTTTCAATATATATATATATATATATATATATATATATATATATATATATATATCTATGTGTGTGTGTGTGTGTGTTGTTAACTAATAAAAATTTTATGCATAATTTTGTTTTGAATGTAAAAGTTCGAAATGAATTGTCAACCTATTTTTAATATACATAAAACCATATCTAACATTTTTCTTCTACATCACGGTTTCTACCAAGTAAATAATAGCGATCATAAAAAAATAAAATTTAAGTCTAAATCAAAAATAAAACCAGTAATAAATTATCAATAATAAAAATTAAATAATACTGAAAAATGAGTAAATTTTTTTGGTGTTCTCTATCGCCTTTATCTTTTTTTTTTTTTATCAGACAACATAGTACTTCTTTTAGTAAAGAATCAAAAATCAAATATACTGTTCAATTTCATGTACTCATTTTAAAATATATAAAATTTTGATCAATCTATTTAGATCACCAATTTTATCTTAGTTTTACACGGGTCAGTCAGTGCTAGGTGACATGTTACTAACGTATTTTGGATTCTTACCAAATTTTATAGAATTTTTAAATAGCGGTGAATTAGTTAAATCCGAACTGAAATATATACATATCACTAAGTTTAGTTGCTCAATCTCAACTGCTCAACACAATTATAAATGTATTAAGTTGCAAAATTTTAACACATGTAATTTTATAATTATCAAATCTTTGTTTCGTATAAATCAATTTATAAAGAAAAAATATCCCGCTCTTGAAAAGATATGTGGTAGTCCCATGTCCAAGATATATTAAAGAGATATTGTCGGTATATTTGTCTTGGGCTTGGGTCGTTAATATGATGTATTGATTTATTTACGGGCTTGCAATAATCATTCGCGGTTGTATTTTGAATTTTTATGTTATTTTCTTATATAATTGTTTTGATAATCATATTTTTAAACACACTATATAATACAATGTCAATTTTTATGACCATAATTTTAAAATAAACAGTCGGTTGTATCTCTATTTATTTNTTTTATGTTATTTTCTTATATAATTGTTTTGATAATCATATTTTTAAACACACTATATAATACAATGTCAATTTTTATGACCATAATTTTAAAATAAACAGTCGGTTGTATCTCTATTTATTTTTATATGACAATAATATCAACCAAATTGTTTATAATAGTATCCTAAAATTATTTATTTTTTATAAAAAATAAGTTTGAACTCAAAATATAAACTATTAGAAATAAATACTTTAGATTATCGAATAGAACTCATAATTTCACCGGGTCTCTAAAATTTGTTATCTAATAAGAAAAATCAATCTGACACCACACATTAAATTGTATGTAATCGTATTTAATCTATATATGGTGGACCAAACCAAAATTATTAACGACAATCTATCTGAACCCGGATACTCATGTCTATACATACTTGTGAATAATCAAACATGAGAATAAATTTAAAGCAAAAACGGTTGTCCCGCCCTCTTTAAGGGCGCGTCAAAATCTAGTGAAGTATTATTAAGTAACTGATTCCGTAATAATAGCCAAACTGCCAATAAAAAGTAATCAATTATTAAATATGGAAAACAACCGTACATTATATATACACTCCTAACTAATATTCCTTATTGCAATCGATTTGTTATATATAAAAGGAATATTCCCAGTAATACCAACACTACAATCTCTCGCCATATCTAACTACTAAATAGTAATACTTATTTATTCTATTTTATATATCAATTCGATCACCTTCTATATATATATATAGTAATACCAAATTATTCTATGAGGTACAAATAAAAATATAAAACCTAGATATAGTATTTTTAAAATATAGTATTGGCTAATTTAACTTAATCACATATAAAATTTTGACCATACTAAATTTTCAAACCAAATTAGTTTAAAATCTAAATTTGAAGACACAAAATTGTTTGTTAACGTATGAATAATACAATTTCCTAAAATATCTTTCTACCAAAATTAAAATTTTAAAACGAAAAGAAAGTATAAATTAACTTAAAAGCTTATTTCTTTA